GGGGTCGATCTGGTATCGGATCCCTTCTCAAGTACATATATGTAAAGTTACGGAGATAGACGGCTGAGGCCCTAAGCCCCAAACTCTAGCAGTATTCGAAAAGCTAGCTTACAGAAACAGCCACAGCCTCAAGCCTTGAACCACACATCACGAAGTCTCAAATCCATAAACACTAAAACGCCTGCCTGGTGCGACAGTGAGAGTCGAACCCTCAACCCAGTCTCAAAAGAATAAGCCCAGAATCCGCACCTGGATCGCGCTGCCAGGAGAACCACACCAGGAACAAGGACGCCAACTTCAAGGGACGAGAGGCCCTCGGAGAGCTTGTGTCGTCTTAGAATAGAATCGAAGACTTTCTTGGGGAGGGGTTTAGGGTTTAGGTTTTTAGGGTTTTGGGGTTTAAGGTTTTAAGGGTTTAGGGTTTAGGGTCTTTTAGGGTTTAGGGTTTATAGCCCCCCAAACCCTAAACCCTCGATCTGAGATCTTGCCTGGACATGTCCGGGCAGTATCAAAAGCGCCCTAAAATCTTGGGTGCCGGCCCCACTGTGTAGCGGTGGGGTAACATGTATAACGTAACTATATGTAGCCTTTGGTAAAATATGACCCTCTAAGGCAGAACGTGACAGGGTGGGGACAGTACCCAGCCTAAACCCTTGATAGGCTGAATGGTTCGGGGGCTTTGGGGGTAGAGCCAAGGCTTGACAGACTCTCCAAGTGTAGAAAACGCCGACCGCCAGTTCTGATCTGGAGTTTGGTCAATCTCTTGGACCTGTGGCTGCAAATTTAGGGCCAGATTTACACAAACGGGACATGGACTTGGCAACCTTAAATCTTAAAGCCTGCGCCTCTAGACTTAAATCTTATGCCTCTACAAGCATAGACCCCAAAACCCTGGACCCCCGCACCCCAATCCTAAGCCGTCAATCACACAACCCTAAATCTCAGCCTTCCAAAATACACCCTGTAAGCCTTAAGGAACGCCCTCAACCCTCGAATCCCTAGGCCCTTATGCCCAAACCCTAAACCCTAAGCCCCTAAACACCTAAGCCCCTGTAAGGAATATTTGAGACCCGAAGTTTCTGATACATCCGAAGCGATCGCGGGACAGCCCGCGGAGGGTTCAAGGCATTAGGGTTTAGGGCTATAGGGTTTAGGGATTAGGTTTCAGGAGCTTGGGGCTTAGGTGTGTGTGGGGGGGGGGGGGCGATGCTACTGGGTTTCTTTAGGCCTAGGCTCTTTGGGTTTAGGAGTTTGGGATTGGCGATGATTGTGTTTGCTGCTGTTGGCTTTAGCTCGGAGGCTCCGAGATGAGGAGTTTGGGGATGTGGGCTTGAGGGTCCTTACCCAGAGAACCCAATACCCCTTAATTAAGGAATATACCAAAAAATCCTTAAGTAAAGTAAAGGGTATTGGGTTCTTGTTGGATGCGATTTTACATTTTTGTCAAAATAAAACCCTAATAAGGATTAAAAATGATCATGTTTAATATGGCCCTAACTGGGAACCAGGTATTGGGTTCTTGGGGATGTGGGGTTCGGACGTGGCTGGATCCGAGGATGCCATGGGTTCAGGACCTGGAACTCACCTCCTTCGGGGCCCCCTCGGGTTCAGGAGCAGTTTAGGGGTTTAGGGAGTAGGGGTTTAGGGTTTTGGGGTTTAGGGTTTTAGGGTTTAGGGTTTAACGGTTTAGGGTGCTAAATTTCTGCAAGAGCTTTCTAGGCCCAGCTCGAGTTGGGAATGTCCGCGGCGGTTTGGATCGCAAGGCTTTGAGCACCACCTGCTACGATCAACTGGGCCCAGCACTCGATCCCCCAACCAAAAACCCTCCAGGGCCCTGCACAAACTTCTCCAGCCCTATTAAAGAAGCATGTACCTTAAATCATATTATTAAGGCCCCTATAAATTAAGGTATAATCCTTATCTAAGGGGTATTGGGCCCTAAACCTAAAAAACCTAAACCCTAAACAGGGCCCTGCACAAACTTACTCCGGCCCCAGAGAAGCAGACAGAACGACCCTCCCTTGGGAGCCGTCAGAGATGGCGCCGAAGAAGCCTCCGGGTCTGAAACCCGGGGACACCATCGTCTTCTGGCCCACCACGAAGGAATCTTCGTTTAGTGGAGCCTTTAAAAGGAGTTTGGGTTTATGTTTTTCTGGCCCACCACGAAGGAGCCTTCATGTTGGTGGAGCTTTTTGAAAGGAGGAGGTTTGGGGACTTTAGAGGTTTAGAGGTTGAGGGTTTAGAGTTTAGGGTTTCGGGGTTTGGGGGGTTTATCTTTTTTTTTTGGTCTGGTACCGGTGGATACCGTCTGCATATTATGTGCAAAGGCCGCAAACATGATACCACCCATTCTGCAATTTTCACGAAAGCATGTTAGCCGATGGTTTAGGGCCTCGGGGGTTGAAGAAGTCTCTGCAGCGGTGTATGCAAAGCACACGTTTCGGGGACTGTGGAGGCCAAAAATTAAAAAGCCTCTAAACCCGAAGCCCCCACACCCTAAACAAACCATGTTAGGAGCAGGTGCCTAAATACCAAACCAGAACATTACGCCCTTAACGCTTCTTTGCCCAAAACACCTCTCTCTAACCCTAAACCTGCTAAACTTTTTAAGCCCTGCAGTAACTTAGAAATAGACGAATGAACACCTTCAACAAACCTAAACCCCTAAACCCTTAAACCCTGAACCTCTAGGGTTTAAGTTTAGGGCTTAGGGGCTCAGGTTCTGTCGTCTCCGAAGGGTTTAGGGTTTAAGTTTAGGGTTCAACCAAAAAGGGATTAGGGTTTAGGAGCAAGAAACCCACAGGAATGGACGAAAGAGTATCCGGACCGCTGGAAGATCGGAGGAGAGTTGACATTCGATGCTGAAAGTGAGTCGGCCCCCAGACCATGCAAGGCGGCTTGATAGGGCTTACCTGTAGCCCAAAAAACCTAGCTTTTTTTGGGACTATATATAGAAACGAACTGTAAAAACGTAGGTCTTGTCGGCCACAGGCAGAGCTGGGGCGACTGTAGTCCCCACAGGGTCCTACGTACTTGTGTGGCAGATATGTTCCGCAAACCATAGTTAGAAGCAGAATCCTACTTTAGAGACTTTGTGCGCTGTAGGTACTTCGGACCTTTTGGGGAGGGCTCTATGGCGCACGATGTGTGGGTCTTCGCTGGTTTCAGAGGGAACCTAGGGGTGGGGGGGGGGGGTGGGGGGGTGGGATACTATACTTCCTCAACAGGCCTTATCAGACCCTTATCAAGTCCTTATTGGGGCCATTAAGGCTCCCTATCCCCCCCTCTTCCTTACCGCCCTAAGGGTCCTTCTGATTTCTGCAAGGCGACGTTCAAAGATGGCAGCGGCACTGCATGGCTCCTTTGGTGTGACGTCGCACTGCCCGGGACCACTGGGGACAGCAGCACTTGGAGCCTTGAGGAAATGGTGCTTGAAACCACAACCAAACATAGGCTCTAAACCCCATAGCCCCACACCAGCCACTAACCAAGAACCTCACTTGGTTGAGTCCGTGTGCTCGTACAAAACCACCATGGAACCCAAAACCCCGAGAGCCGTAAGCTCTTGAATGTAATCCTAAACCCTAAAAAGGATTACAACTCTGCACCCTTAGAACAACAGAACCGTAATTGGTGGTAAACTCTTTTCGGCTTCCTTTGATCCTGAAAATTAGAGACCTTAAACTTAAACCCATACAGAAGGAAAGCCAGCTCCGTGACCATCTGTGGCTTGGATGGCGAGACGCTCGGAACGTATGAGATCAACGCCGGCACCGTGGCGGACTTCTGCACCAAGTTGGCCAAGGACAGGCCGTGTACACTCGAAGCTTTAGGTTTAGGGTTTAGGGTGGATTTAGGGTTGCCCTACCGGTGGATGCACGTCTGTGGCCCTCAAGTTACTACATAGAAATTCTCTCAATAAAGGCGAAGTGTATGCCATATATGTGCATAGAGCCGAAGGCTCTAAGGCCGCCGTATATACAAAACCCCAAACAATAACCTAAGCAATAAACCCTAAACCCCAATATAAACCCTAAACGAAAAAACCCTGGCTCGTCCTTGCTATGTAGGAGGGAAAAAAACCCAAACCCCAAAGCCCTAGACTGTAAAACCGTATACAAATCACAAGAAGACCCGTTTGTTTGAGGCCGACCTCCTGCGCTGCCTAAGAGTTAGGTGTGGGCCTTGACAGCTAGGGTTTGGTTTAGGGGTGTAGGGGTTTGGGGTTTAGGTGTTTAGGGGTTTAGGATTTAGGGGTTTAGGGTTTAGGGTTTAGGGGTTTAGGGGTTTAGGGGTTAGGGGATTGGGATTTCAGAAGCCTTGCAAAAACCACATGGGTATAGTTCTCTAAATTGGGGTCGTTTTGGGGGTCCTTTTTGTAAGGGTGCCGTACTGTTTTGGGGACCTAGAAAGGGTCCCTAATCTGGAGAACTACCCGCATGAAGCCGAAAGAGTTACTGAAGGGTTTAGGGTTTTAGGGCCTCTCAACCCTATAACTTCAAAGAAGTCCGGAGGATCAAGTTCGCGAGCTCAGGGTAGCCGTATAGCCGGCGGCTACAATTGTGCTCTAAGTCTTACTACAGTAGATCAACAATCATACTGTAGGCCTGCAGCCATCTCCATGTCGCCCATCAGAACCCTGAACTCTGAGGCCGCAAATCGGGATTAGGGTGTAAGGTTTAGGGTTTCGGGTCCCTCAATCCAACCGGAAGCTGCGAGAAAAGGGCCGAACAAAAGAAGCAACACTGAACCCGTCAGGACATCACTGTGCCAGACGGCTGCTTCCTGGAGCTCTCCTACAAAGAGAAGCTTAGAGAGCGAATGGGAGAACTTGAGACTTTCTTTGGCCTTAGACTTGGTCCATCTTACCCTAACCCCCCAGGTACCTACTATATAGGGTACTAGAGCCCCTAGGGCCCTATATAGTAGGTACCTGGGGGTTAGGGTTAGCAAGTTTGAAGTGTTTTTGGCGCGGTTTTTGATGAAGAGAGGAAGAAGCTCGATCCAGAGCTCTCTTTGGAGGGCCAAGGCGTCGGAGATGGTGCCACGTTGACATTGCTGAAAACGAAAGGTGCCCTGAAAAGCATCAAGCTTACAAGCCCAAAAGGGCCGGTGGCTCTTATTACTTTTGATAAGATTTCTTTACGGTTGTGTTAAGGCTAAGGGTTGCTATAGGGGTGTCCTAAAGGGCTCAGCACAGGCGGCAGCCAATGTCCTCTGTACATCCTCTAAGGGCTAGAGGTGCTTATCGGATCAAACCGTAGCTACGGTTACCATGTACCTTTTTTGGGGGGTCTGATCCTATCCTTTCTAGTAGGGGTTTGGGGTTGAGGGGGGTCGTATTCTTTGAGTGAGGTAAGGGTCGTTGCCTACTTCTGTACAGTGCAGGCAGGTCCTTACTCTTCCGAGGCATCCTTTTTAGGCAAAAAAACGCCAAACTCCACGACCTGAAGCCAAGGCCTTAAGACCGAACTTCCCCCAAGTCTAAACCCTAAACTCTAAACCCCATAACCTTCAAAGCTCAGAAACTCCTTTCGGTCCTTAAGGTCGCTCCGTGGTGGGATGTCGCACATTCAACATGAAAGACTACCCAGAAGACCGGTACTGTGAGTGGGAGGAGATCGAGTTCAAGGAGGAGTTCGTGGGTTCGCTTACAAAGAGTTATTCGCGGTTCCTTTTTAAGGGCTCCTAAAAGAGTTACAGTACTTATAGGGTTCCTGAACAGAGTACAATTGTAAGTCTTCTTATGCGGGTTATGTAGGGATAGACGTTAACCGTTAAGTAGGTTAGGGCATGCGGGTTTCAGGGTTGGGGTTTAGCTG